GAGTCAGTTTGTCGATTCTACACTGCTGGAAGACAATATGGTCAATCTTGTGTAGAATCCAAATGCCTGGAATGGTTAGAAAGAAGGTTAACATCAAGCTCTTCTGTTGAACAACTAAGGAATATGAGGTATATATTTTTTCTACTTTAAAATGAAAATCTTTTACTATTGAATATGATGTGCGAATCATTTTTCAGTATTGATCTGATGGAGAAAGTGATTGGATCTCCAAATCTTTTTGTCATGCAAATAGAAGTTGATGTGTACAATCTTGCTAAGATGTGGATGTTTTTAAAAGTTGAAACTAGTTGGCAAGGGAGTAAGAAAGACTTGCTTCAAGATGCAAATACTTATTTTCAATCAAGACAACGCCATATCAGTTTTCTAGAGACTGAACAAGGAGCTAAATATGTTCGCGTGTTCAAAGGGATCAAGCTTCATCATGTGATTTGTGACATCAAAGCTGTGAAGCAACTTGATGAGGATAAGATAATACCTCAAGGTATGTAATTGTATTGCTGAGGATAAGATAATTCCTCAAAGTGTTTGATTGTATTGATAAAGATAAAATAATACTTCAAGTATGTAATTGTATTGATGAGTATAAGATAATACCTCCAGGTGTATAATGGTATTACCGCGTTTATAATAGACACTTTACTAATAACGGTTTTGATAGATTTCAACTTTAATCAAATACGTAGGTCTCATTTTCATTACTAAAACACTAGATCAAGAAGTGATTTTATTATTCCTGTACGTATATTTGACGAACTGTGATGTTCTAATTGGATATACAAATAAACAAAAAACTTACGTAATGCACTTTTAATAAAGGCATATCAATGTAAACTTACTTATACTAGAGATATTACTTTTGCTATGAAATGTAATAAACCACATCTGTTTCCCTGAAAGTAACCACGATCAACTTCACACGCGAGTGTAAATGCCAGTTACATCTCATTGTCATTTTAGGGTGCCACATGTACGCTCCGCGCAACTATTTTTCAATAATGAGTTCAATAATTCCCCATAATTCCCCAAGTTTTTGACTGAAGTACATTCGTCTGAGCAAATTGTAAAAAATCAAGTGTCTTTTTTAAATTTTGAATATTAATAATTATTTATCTGTAGCTATGCGTAATTTATTATTTCATAGATTATAGTTTTTTTGTATAACTTTTAAGAGCTCACGTGAAAAGCACTTTCGGTGACTAGGACCTCCTCGTAAGAGGAATGTACAAAAAAATACTGTATAAATAGTGATGATGTCATCATTTTATTAAATCTTTATTTAGAATGGTTATCGAGTGTTTATAAACAACAATGGAAGCAGATGTTGTTAGCCTTCCAGGAATAGATTGTGGTCCTGGAGAAAATGTCTCAGAAGAAATGTTTGATTTTCTGGCATTTCGTTGTGGCAGGATATTGGAGCAATGTGCAGGTATTTTAACCATCATCAATATTTGTTGTTTGTTGGATAGTGCAAGAAAATCTTTTTAGTTTCTACTTATTGGACACGTAGTCAGTGATGTAGTTCTTTGGTTATTCATGGCTTCAAGCGTACGCAAAGATTTGAGACTTTACATCGTATTTTAAGTGTTACTTTATCTGAAAATAGTTTTTCACAGAGATACAAAAGCCAATTGTGTTGCATGAGGTGTGTGGCCCACGAAAAATGGAAATTTGCTATGTTTTTTTTACTAATATTCCAACTTTTTAGAAATTCGTATTTACTTTACGCACTTAAGATCTTATATAGTTCAACTCCCAGGGCCTGTTTATATGGAAGCCTAGCTGGCTCGCTAACCGAGATAGTCCGTCAAACGAAATCTCCTATACGTAATAGATATTATAAAAATCTCTTTGCGTTTATATGGCGACACGGGCTGGTCCGCATGGCGAGATCTCACTTGGATCTCGTCTGCCGGGATGAAATTTTTCTCATGTAAACACTCAACTGCCGAGCTAGCCCGCTTGCCGAGCTAGCCCGCTTGCTGAGCTGGATTCTGGCAGAGTACGTGCATGTACAAAGCGAACAAAAAGAGACGAGAATGGTTCAAAGAAAGAAATTTCGCTGCGATACAAAGACAATGGAGCATTTGATTGATAATCTGTCTGATTATAATTAGAAGATGCTTTATCTTGATCTTGGTCCCCTTGTGTTTATGATCTTTTTCAACGATTTCCCAGATTGGTTGTTGCACTCCAAAGTCATCATGTATACTGATGACACTGTAATCTACGTTGCTGGAATGGACACTTACACTATTGAAATTCGGTTGTCATCTGATATGAATCGCATCTTGAAATGGTGTACTGAGAATGAATTAATACTTAATATCAATCTGGGAAAAACCAAATCGATGCTTTTTGGTACTGCAAAGAATCTTGCCAGCACATCAAAAACTTTGAATGTTACATATGAAAACAAGATCATTCAATCCATAATAAGTTATCAGTATCTAGGCATTGATATCGATTACTCTTCAAATTTAAACTCAAATTTTGATAAAATGTATAAAAAAGCCTGTGGGAGGTTGAAATTATTAAAAAGAATTAGACCTTTTCTCAACTTGTCAGCAACAAAAGCGATTTACAAAAGGATGATAATCCCATTTTTAACATACTGTGTCATTTTGTATTTGAATATCAATAAGTCTAGAAAGGAGAAACTTTCATCTTTTCATGATCGTGCTATAAATATTATTGCATTTAATACTACTCAAGATGATGTAAATATAAAGAAACCTATGTCTGTCAATAAAATAAAGGCGTGCAGATTTGTACGAAGAAATATGGATGGAAATGTATGTTTGAATTTTGCAACCTATTTTGTAAAACGTGATCACAATGTGGAAAGCATAAACAGTGAATATCAACTGCAACTTCCAAAAATTCCACTGGAATATAGTAGAAGCTCCTATATTATATGAGAGCTATAATGAGTTCTACATTTCTTTAAATTTTCTTATAACACTTGTATATTTAATTATTTTGTCAGAAATTTTATTTTTTTGTTTAGCAGAACTCACATTGATAACGGATTTTTATATTTTACAAATATCTGACGTGACTATCCTGTGAAAATATTCGCTAAATAAATAAAAAATGAACAAGTCTTGATTTCGACCGCAAAAACGTCTCGGCAAGCGAGATGAACGTCATATAAACACATTAAAATTCATCTCGCTTGCCGGGCTAACTCTCTAAGAGGGTCAGCCCGGCTCCATATAAACAGCCCCCTAGAGTACAATATGCTGAATCTAAAACTTAAACATTTCTTCGCTCAGTCTAAATTCAATCACATTGCTGCTGTTACCGAGATGCCTAAATGTACGTACATATCCCCATTAACACACCGCAACATATTGTGTAGTTTTGAAATGTTATCATGCACGCTTTATTTCATAGAATTGGCCTTGAAATTTGCTTTATTTATTCTAGTACTGCTGGCGTTGGACTGGTTTCACATATGGTGTTGATATAATTGTCACATATGACAGTTCGAAACAAATTTTAGTCTTCAAACGTAACATGTACACTCAAGCGTGTTCCAGTGCCATTTGTATGCAGCTGAAACGAGATATAATGTGTAAAGTACAGGTTGTTGCATTCAATAATGAAGGCAAGCAAACATTTTACAAAAGTTCTGGTGTAATTCATTCCACATTGGGACCTGACGAAGAGTTATATGCTTTGCATATCACTGAAGATATTCAGTATCCACTTCATGTTAGCGCGCATATTGCGTTGCTTGGATCTCCTTCGTCAGATACAGATTCCGACAAATAATTGTGATATAGTGAAGGGATGATTGTAGGATAAAACCCAAAACACACAGGTGACAATGAACTTTTGAAGTGGAAAAAAGTACTGAAGAAGCATCGAAAAGCGAAGAACATTATGTTTAAGGACACACATGAAATATGATAGAGAAAAAACAAAAGACACCATTTTTACGTATCCTTTCCGCCACTTTTAGCATAACTACTCAGTTGAAGTAATTTCGAAATAATAGGATGTCTGTTGACATATTTGACAGATCAAGGACGTAGCAAGAGTGTACACTATTCATTACAAAATAGTGATATCACTCTTGTCACAGTATAGAGAACATACAGTAGTGCCACTCCATTGAATATTTTCGTACCACGCATATCTTATTGCGCATGTAATTACCATATTGGCAGCCAGTAAATGGCATTGTGTGACCAAGAGGATTGACGATATGGCAAACGGCAACCAGTGAACTGACTTAATATACAGCAGCCAGTTGCACAGCGAAGTGGCCCTACTATATATTCCTATACTGTGCTCTAGTTTTCGTCACTTTTATCTAAAACCTCGTCTCGTTTATTTGGTACATTTTGCCTAGTTATTTACAAATGCAACTGTTAAGTGTGAATAAAACATACGATCAAACTAAGTCAAATATGAATATTAAATCGTTTAGATTACCAAGAGATATAATACAGTAAAAAGATATTCATTTTAATGATTACACTGTTAATTTTAGGGTGTCAAATCAACATCGGAAAAGGTGTTAAATACTAATGGCAAAAAGGACACCTTTTCAGGTGTTAAATTTAACACCTTTAAAAAGGTGCTATATTAATACTTTTGGTGGGTTGTTAGATGAACACTGTTTTTTGGCGTTGTATCAATACTTTTAAGGGTTATTTTGACTCTTGTATTGGTGTATCAAAAAAGGCTTGCATGCCTTTCAATTCACAAAATTTAATGAAGAGTTTCAATGGCGATACAAATTTATATTAGCAAATAAGCAATAAATAAATATATACAAATGAATACTTGCAAAAACATGCAAACAGTTTAATGTATAATAGATTATTCAATCAAAATTAAAGTCTAATCAGTTGAGTATTCCCTTTCTCCAGAACTTTTGCATAGATACTCATTGCTGCTGGAGAGTGTTGTTGAAAGAAGAAGGTGAACTCAAGAATGAAGAGAAACAGGGGAAGTTTTGTTTGTTTATTGATTTTATGAAGCGCTGATGTATTGTTTTTTGAAGCTTCCTTTGCACGATATAAGCACGTGAACAAAAGCACAGATAACATGCACTGAGCGTAGGTAGAGCATTAAAAAGGAAAGATAATTACAGGGCATTTTGATCAAACATTGAGCACAGAGAACGTTTTGTACGAATTTTAACACTTTGCATTTTCACACACTTTACACCAAAGACTATAGACTTTGCATTTTCACACACTTTTGACCAAAGACTATACTCTTTGCATTTTCACACACTTTACACCAAGACTATAGTCTTTGCATTTTCACACACTTACAAAGACTACTGTACCGGCATCGCAGAGGTCATGGGTTCGAATCCTGTTGAGTCACCGATCATATCTTCATTTAATTTCAAACACCGCAATGCACATAACATTCTTTCATATGACATTCCTTTCACGAAAAAACATCAGCCCAAAAAATTGACCTGATTAACCTTATCAAAAGTGTCTTACCTAATTTACCTTTCACTTATTTGGGATAAGTTTTAATATTCAACATATTGTAGAAATTTAGCCAATCAGAGATGTAAGAGCTCAAAATTTATCCTATAACATTTGTAGAGCTCATTGAAATCAACCAATGAAATCGATCGGACCACCAAATGATCTTAATAAACGTCAATCACTTTACACAACGGTAGATGCCCTCAAGACTCGAAAGTGAAAGGAAGGTTAGTGAAATTTTGATCTATTGTTTTAAAACGCACTTCAAATGTTGATAAATTCAATGGCAAAAGTCTTGTTTGATGTATAGTTACGCATTGTTTTACTGTAAGTCTTTTCGTCGGTTGTTTTTGTGCAATTCGCCGTTTAACTGCGTGCCTTCGACGGTGTATTTGCTTTGCCAGAGAAACTTGACAGTATAAAAACGGCAAGTTTGTATGTTTCAAAGTCTTTCTTTTCTTTTTACTTCAGTGTGCTTGGTGACTGCTGGTGTTTTGAATACTTCGAAGTGAAACTTTGTCGAATATTTTTGCTTTTAGCGTGTATTTTTGAATCGATATTTTTTGAAATTGTGCACGATCATCATTGTTTTACGCTATATAAGTATTTGTATGTTTAGTTTGAGTAAAAAGTAAACTAAAATTGATATTTTCAACCTTGTTCGATATATTTTGAAAAAATGGCGAAATCTCATTATGGATATAGTATGCAAAAAAAATTTGCATAATGAAAATATGGCATTATGGATATAGTATGCAAAAAAAATTTGCATAATGAAAATATGGCATTATGGATATAGTATGCAAAAAAAATTTGCATAATGAAAATATGGCATTATGGATATAGTATGCAAAAAAAATTTGCATAATGAAAATATGGCATTATGGATATAGTATGCAAAAAAAATTTGCATAATGAAAATATGGCATTATGGATATAGTATGCAAAAAAATTTGCATAATGAAAATTTACATAATCATAACCAATAGATGAGGTAAGAGTTTATTTTTTATTTTTCTTTAACTATAAATTTAGTGATTATTTGTTTATTTTTTAGAATGAGTAGAAGTCTACATATTCGATTTGATAATATCAATGTTGACGGATATGAGATTATTGACGCTTGTCTACCATTATTTGAATCTATAACGCAAGATGTGAAGAAAGTTGACGAAGGAAAGAAAAAGAAAATCAAAGCCTACTACAAACAACTACAAACATTCAATAAAGTTTGTAAAGGAAACAACATCATATCGTTGAATAGTGTTTTCGAGTATTTTGAAGGTGAAAACATACCTATAACTAAAGCATAAAAAGATTCATTACATCCAACTATACAACTTGTTATGATGCATGATATGATGATGCATGATAAGTTTTTAAACTCAACTGACCTATTCTTGATATATATGTTTTATATGTTGTTATATTGTGGATGCATTGTTACTTTGCATATCATTATTTCATGTTTTCTTGTAGATCCAACATGGATGGAGTTGTGAAAGTCCCTTTGCCACCTGTGTCCTTTGCTTCAATTACTCTTACTAGTTTTTCATTACGAATGTGTCATGGTGATTCATGGCCAAGATTATTTTTGTGTAGTTTTGATTCATTCTTGATGTCAGTTGTTTGTTCATATAATGATGATGGGCCCCATTGTTATATGAGCCCACCTAAGGGTGGTCAACTGATAATCAAAGATGATCAACTCTGCACTAAACAATCTTTAAGTGATGATATGACTGGGGTATTGGAGTCCCTTTTCCTTTCCTCGAAGTTGTGTATATAATATATCCACTTTCAACTTCATATCAACTTCAACTTCACTCATATCATGCCAAAAGTATATGGATATTAGATATTGTCTATAATTGCTTGTTGTGAAATTATTAAATTTCTGTTGAAACAATTATTTTGACAGCTAATTGATTCATTATTTGTATTAATTATATTATCAATCATATCATTAATTATATTATTTCTTTGAAAGTATTGCAATGAATGTAATTAGTTTTGGTTATTCCGACACAAGTAACATTGTATTGCTTCTTTGATATTCATATTATGTACTTATGTTTGCTATGTACTGTGTCTGTGTTTTTCTACATAATTTAAATATAGATAAACCATTTATTAAGATTGTAAATTGTGTTATGTGTATAGATAGTTTTAATTAAGATAATATTATAATATCATCTAATCATCACAATAAATGAATAGATTCTATCTAGTTTGGACAAATGATACTTGCTGCAAAAGAATGGACAAATATCAAAATAAAAACTAATGTAATATGAATAGATTATGGTACTGAATGATATTTTAAATTTGATGCAGACTGATCTATAAAATCAACTGGAGTGGTGATTCAGGGGGGGTTAACAAAGTATGTTATACGACGAGATTGAAGCTGTGTTGATGAATACATGGCGGCAGCCCATCATGTTGTTTGTGATCTATAAAAGTTTTAACACTTTATGTCATTTTATTACATGACAGAAGATCAAATTGAAAAGCATATCCTTATCAATTTAGGGCTAGTTTTGAGCTTAAATTATGCTGATCTTAAGAGAAATTTGGAATATTTGGAGTTAAGTAGGTCGGAAGTCTGCGAAAGAAGTAAGTGTGTTTTGTTTGTTGTATTTATAGCAAAAGGCCATTATTTTTTGTGAAGACAATTAGTTGATTTGTCTGTTGTGTTTTCCCAGGAATTTTACTTTTTCATAATTGTTTTAAAAGTTTAACCTAATTTTTAACCCGATTTTCGATTCAAATCGGAAAATTTTGAAATTTCGTGTTGTTGACTTGCGAAGTATACTAGATAGATGGCATTGTACCCCCATCAATTTATGCCTTTCACCAGGCAGAAATATTAAAGTAATGACTGAATGACGGAAATCAGTTGATGTGAGATAAAGTGCTCTCTTGTGATATTGATTGTTGAAATTGATTGATAATGAATAATAGCCGAATCTCTGTAGAAATATAAAATGAACTTTAACTACAAAAATGTGGAGAACCATGTACTATTTTGTTATTGGGCATTACACATAATGGTAAATGTCTTCAAAAAAATCTTTTAAAGTGAGTAATAATATACGTTTTCTGTTTTCGGTTGAACAATAGAAAATTATCACAAATAACTGAAAATTTACTATGGAATTTTTTGAGATTGGTTTACTTTTGTTTTATTATTTCGAGTCTTAATTTCTTGACCTACATGCAGTAATGTAATTTTTATTCACCGAGAATTATACCCACACAATTACATATTAAACGAAGGAATACAATTTCTGCATGTGTCGAATACAATTTGGCTCGCGTTTCACTCACAACAAAAGGGAGTTTACGTTCCACTGTTTTTCGCGACGGCGACGTCTTGTGTTTCACAACGCCGGCGCAAGCGTATTTTTAGTTTACGCAAATTTACAACGTCGCCTCCGCGGAAGAATAATTGGCGGGAATATAAATCAGAAAACATTGCTTTCAAAAACATTCAAAAACAAAGAATGCCGAAGTGGAGAGCAATTCGAGAGCGTCTTTTTATGTCTTATTCGGATCAATCAATCGACGACGAAGAATTTATTTTGCTTTTCAACTTATATACTGCTAAAAGTCCGGATTTGCCTTATTGGAAATACGAAGAATTTGATTTAGATAAATTAAGCGACGACGAGTGTAAAGCAGAATTTCGGTTTATGAAATCACACATTTATACTCTTGTGGATGCTTTGAGGCTACCACAATTTATTACGTGTTATAACGGCCTTAAGGTTGATAGAGTTGAGGCATTTTGCATATTTTTGAAACGTTTTGCCTACCCTTGTCGATACCTGGATATGTTGCCAAGATTTGGTAGACCAGTCCCTCAACTCTGTATGATCAGTAATGCTGTCATAAACTTTTTATACATGGAGTGGAACCGTTTGCTGTTAACATTTGATCAACCATGGTTATCTTCAGGCAACATTCAAGAATTTTGTAATGCAGTGTTTCAGAAGAGTGGTGCCTTAGAAAATTGTTTTGGTTTTGTCGATGGGACAGTACGTCCAATTTCTAAACCTGGTCAAAATCAAAGAGTTCTTTATAATGGCCATAAAAGAGTTCATGCCATAAAATTTCAGTCAGTTGCTGTTCCAAATGGTCTTGTGGCTAATCTCTTTGGTCCTGTGGAGGGTAGATGACAGCGCAATGCTTGCCCAATCCAGTTTATATAACAAGCTTCAGCAGCTGGATCATTTGAACAACGAAACTCCTGTTTGCATTTATGGTGACCCTGCTTATCCTCATCGACCTCAACTACAATGCCCATTTAAAGGAGCAAGAATAACTCCTCAACAGCAACAATGGAACAAAGCAATGAGCAGTGTAAGAGTGTCTGTCGAATGGATTTTTGGGGACATAGTTAATTATTTTAAATTTCTTGACTTCAAAAAGAACCTAAAAATACAACTTAGTGCAGTAGGGAAAATGTACACTTGTTGTACTTTACTTCATAATGCAAGATGCTGTTTTTATGGGTCTACAACCTCACAGTTTTTTGAACTTCAACCTCCATCTATACATAAATATTTTGTGTAAAAAGTTCAAAAATATTCAATTTTATCAAGTTGACTAATTGTTTAATGTACAGAGTTAAGTCATCAGGAACATTTTTTAACATCACTCTAATATACTCTTGTTATGGATAACTTTATGAATGTTTCATCTATAATATCAATAACAGTAAATTGTATTTGTGAAAAAAGTTTGGTCTACTCTCAAGCAAAAATATATGCACTGTTTTAATAAAACATTTCAGTCTTTTTTAACAATATTCTGCATCAATGTTAGTAAAGCAGTGTTTTGAAGTTGCAGTTGATGCATTAGTTGCTCTTGCTGCTTTTGCTGAGCAGCAATGCTGTCAGTTAAAGCTTTAGTGAGAGCTTCCTGTTGAGAAATGATGTTGTTTTGTTGTTGTTTTCTTTCATCAGCTTCAGCTTTTTTCAACATCAATTCTTCTCTTTTAAGTTCTGCATCAACTTTTGACTTTTGTTGTAAATAGGCAATGATTTCACTTCCATTGGATGACATTCTTCTTTTAGGTTTTTCACCATCTTTACTTTGAGATTTTCTTTTGTAAGTTTCAGCTAATGTTTCCATTGACTGTTGTCTCATTTCCACAGCCTTTTCTACTTCTGCAACAGAGTTTTGTTTTTGTTTCTCTTCCAAAATTTTCTCTTCTTCATCTCTATTTCTGAACATTTGAATAATTTCCTCAATGGAAGTTTCTACTGCAGATGGCTCTGGAGAGATCCCAGAAGCTTTTTCCTCCTCTCTTAATCTTTTCTTTTGTTGTTTTTGAAGTAAAGTGTAGTGGTCTCGAACAGACTTTTGCGTCACGTTAAACTTTGGGCTATCCATATCATTTAAGGAATCACTGATCATTTCCCATGCATTACCTCGTTGCTGTGATCCTTTTTTGAAGTTCCATGGTTGGAATAAATACATTTCACGAACTAGAATTTCATTATGTTCATTTGTCCAAGTCATTGCTTTTTTGCTAAAATTACAAAAATAATTAAGAATGCAAAGAAAACCAAACAAATAAACTAATTATAAATATATAATATTTCGCGTATATAAAAATATAATAAAATATTAGTTGAGTTGTAATATTTGAAAAAAACAATCGATTTAGTACTCTGTGTGTTAAATAATTTACCCTTATCTCAGTACAAACTGAACATAACAATAACTTATTGCTAAAAAAGGCTTTAAACACTTAAAACTCTTCGATTCCTACCTTTTTGTGTTTTGATGTTCATCCGCCATCTTGAACATGCAGGACGCGTCCAAAGAAGACGATTTCACGGCGTCGTCGCCAAAGGAAGCAGCCAAAATGTTAAGAAGCATGCGCACTAGCATTAACTCCCGGCGTCGTCGTCAAAATGTGAAGTTTCGTAAACTCTCTAAAGTCTGGAACGAGATGAAGCGAAGGGTAATAATTGCATTGAACGCCAGCAAAATTTGACGTTTGAAATCCACGATCAAATTTTACATTTTGGTCTAATAAAATTGCTTATTGTATTCGTTCAACACATGCAAAATTCGACGTTTGAAACAGGCCTAAGTTACACCCACGAAAATGACAAGTTTGACAGCTGATGACAATCATTTATATTGGATATGCAATGCTTGGCTTGGTTAACGGTGCCTGTGCAAGTGGGCGGTCGTCGTAAGCGTTGTGTGATAATTAAACTAAAGAAGAAAGCAAACTCACCGCAATTTTATTCAGGCGAGAAGAAGGTTTGATGCTTTTTCATATGATCATGTGAGACGCAAAACATGACAGAAATCGATTGTTTAATTTACATTTTCATTGAAGAAAAATAGTCTCGGATTGGCAGCATGTTGTCGTCCATGTAAAAACCACGAATCTTTAATTTTATGGAAAGCGTTGAGAAAACTTTTTTATGTTTGTTTGTTTATGTATGTACGACAGGAAAGAATGACTAGCAGCTTTTGCAGCCAAACGTGTACAGTTACTTGGACTGTGAGATAATGGCTTTCCACATGTCTCATTTTGCTTACTTTGAACATAACATTTTTTATATTTAGTTTGATGAACTTCTAACAAGCAATTGGCAGAGAAGAAAGGGACCGTTTTCAAACGGTGAATTTGTTAATTTATGGAAAGTATTGGTGGTTTTCTTATGCGCCTTGCTGTCAAAATTATTATTATTGTTTGCCTGATGAGATGAAGACAAGAAAGAGCTTTCGCTGAAAAACGTGAAAGTAAATTTGGAATGTGATATATATTGACGTCGGACATTTCTCGTTTTGCTTGTTTTGCAAACATAACTCTATATTTATAGGCAATGTTACAATTCGTTCGTTGAAGTTTAGTGAAGAAGCCATTATCGATGAAGTTAAAAGCGATATGGTAAGTTTATGTCATGTTTCTATATCTTTAGATAATTCTTGGCTCGATGTTTTTAATCAATCGTATTTAGCAGACAGATATAATCAACAACAACTCGATTTTCACGTTTGCCAGAGTCAGGAATACTTTTAAAAAAGGTATTGTGATGAAAATCATCTCGTAAAAATGTATTGTATTTAATTATTGGTGGGAGATTTTCTTCGACATTTCTACCAGGTGCTGTTTCAGTTCATTGAAAGTTCCGTTTATTTGAAATATTTGAAAGAAACCATTTGAAATATGTGACAAGGAGAAATACTCTGAGGCGCCTTGCGCGTTTCGCATCAATGTTCATTCAATTGCTTCAAGGTAGTAAGAATAATCGCGATTATTTAAGCGTCGATAAATAGATTTATAGAGTAATAATATGTGCATTAAAAGAAGAAATTCTCGTTGTAGTTTTGTCACAGCCACAAACGAAGAATGTTTACGAAGCTCAAAGCCACATGTTGTAAGTACTTTGTTCATTACTACCCATTTATTAGCGGAAAGCTAAGCTGTTATGAATAACGCAACTTAAATGATGCTTTATAATAACGAGAAAAATATAAATTTTTAACTGAAACTGAATGTGATCTTTAGAAAAGTGTAAAGATGTTTATAGATTTCATCATTGAATGCGGCTTTCATGGCTTAAAATATAATCTGAAACTGGTTTCAAACACATTCTTTTCTTTAAAAGATTGTTGAGCAGTAAAAGAAAATATATGGTTTACACTGATTGAGAAAGAAGATCTGTAAGGCTGCCAATAACATGCGGTTTCTCTTGCATAAAAAGAAATGAACAACTACAATTTTACAAGTTTCGTCTTTCACACACGGTTTTTTTATTGTGAAATATTCTGTCTAATTCGAAATGTTGTCCATCTACAAGAAAATTCTCGGTAAAAGAGACTAAACACATATCAATGCTTTACAAAAAGTCAACTTGCAAGATTAAAGGAAAGCCGTTGTTGGGGCGTGGTACGGATTGAAAATTTTCAATTTTATATGATGAATTTAAATTGGACGTTGCACTTTTGCAGCAACCTTACGGTGGCTATTTCTTTTCTCTATATGACGTGTTTTATAATAAAGTGATAAGTGTCGTCGTCGTCTGTACAATTCGCATTGTATGTTTGTAAAATAAAGTAAGTTTGGACTGTGATTTCAAAGTATACTGTGAATTTGATAATTTATGCAAAGTATTGGTGGTTTTCTTGAGACAATTATGATTGTTTGATTGTTTGTCTCATTTCTCGTTTTGCTTCCTTTGCAAAATAACTCTTTATGTATTTAGGAACTGTTACACTTCGTTCGTTGAAGTTTGGTGAAGAAGCCATTATCTTTAAAGTTGAAAGCGATGTGGTAAGTTTATGTTATATAATCTTTAGATAATTCTTGGCTTATGTTTTTCTTCAATCGTATTTAGCGGATATAATCAACAACAACTTGATTTTCACGTTTGCCAGCGTCAGGAATACTTTTAAAAAGGTATTGTGATGAAAATAATCTCGTAAAAATCTATTATATTTAATTATTGGTGGAAGATTTTCTTCGATATTTCCGACATTTATTCAAAACCATTTGAAATATGCAACAATGCACAGATACTCAGCGGCCTTTTGCTCCATCCTCAAAAAATACATTTATAGAGCAATATACATTAAAAGAAGAAATTCTCGTTTTAGTTTTGACACCGCCATACACGAAGAATAATGTTTACGAAGTGCAAAGCCACATGTTGTAAGTAGTTTGCTCATTATTACTTATTTATTAGCAGAAAGCCAAACCGTTATAAATAGCGCAACTTACACAATGCTTTATATTTACGAAAGAAATTTGTATTTTGAAACTGAAACTGAATGTGATCTTGTGAAAAGTGTAAAGATGTTTATAGATAGTCACAAAGATTTCATCATCAAACGCTGCTTTCATGACTTTAATTAAAACTAGTGTTTTCGGCACACATTCTTTTTAACCACACATCATTCCTTTACAAAAAAGTCAACTTGACAATTGAGGAAAGCCGTTGTTGGGGCGTGGCAAGGATTGAAAATTTTGAATTTTATATGATGAATTTAATGAATATGAATGATTTGCCGTTTTGCCATGTGTTTTGTAATAAAGCGAAAAGTGTCGTTCGTCGTGTGTACATGTCGCATTGTATGTATGAAATGTTAATTTTTTCTGTTTTTGAACTATAAAGAGCAAAACGAAGGCTTTTAAGAATATGTTGTCTTGTAATAAAAATACACACACTTTGAAACAGTTACTGTTGTTGGTGGTCATTAATTGATTGTTAATAATAAAGCGTATCATTTAATACTAACTATTTCGCTTTTTAATTCCTGTTATTTTGATGATTGTTTTAGGTGACAAGCTGATGAAAAAGCTTAAGTATTTGTTCAAGGATTATCGACCGTGGGAGTAATTATTAAAATGTTTTTTTTCTCATTCCTTTTTTTTGCTTTAGATGATCATCGTGTGGTACAAGGCCTGCTCCTTTTCCCTCCCTTTAGCTAGGTGCGTTGAGAGAAGGTCCCTGACAAAGGACGGGTTGCGTGTTCTTCGGAGCTCGCTTTAACGTAACGTGGTCATGTCGGACTAGAGCGCCCCATTAGGCTCCCGCAATGAAATTTTCTGATAAAGATACATTCTTAGATAATTAAGTCAAGCAGTTAAGTTAAGAAAAGTTCCTTTGTTTGTCTGAGGGAGCAAAATAAAAGGGTCTATGTTATTGTGTGTAGTTGGTGTCATTGTAAGGTTTAAGCTGGTGAGTTTACAAATGTTTGGATAAGGTTTGGACGAGGAACCACCTTAGCCTTGAAGGTCAATACGGGGACATGTATCTTTGCAAAGGCGTCAACAAATCCATTAAGCCCACTTCCATCTCAGCAACAATGGAAGAAACTTGCGTTGCTGAGGTAAGTTTGCTTGTTTGCAGTTCTGTATTAATTATCGTTAATTGTATGTTGTTTTTTTTTCAGCTCTGCTGGCTGGGTGGCGTCACCGCACATTGACCCAGCTACCCAATGACTTCCCTGAATTTTCATTATGTGAAAACTAAAAAAAAGAATGATTGTGCATGCATGAAGGAGTATTGGTACCAACCAAGTAAGGAGCATTACAACTTGTTACTACTTGTACCAAAATGACAAAAAGATTTATTAACAATTGTGATTTTTCTGAACAATGATGAAAGTGCATGTCAACTTCTTTAACAGAAGGGAGTTGTCAAATTGCAACTAAGCATTTGTGGGAGTGCTTAGTTAACAATTTCAATTTCTGATTTTGCCATTGTATGTATTATTTTGTTTTGCTTGTGAGTAAGTAACAAATTGTAATACTCAAGGTTAGGTAGGAAATTCTTCATTGACAAAGAAAAAATTCTCAACAATGTTAAAAAAATTTAATGTTAAAATTTTTTTGATTACATATTTCGACAATGTTTCACTTCTGACCATATAATTCCAAAATGTTTCATTTTTTAACACATGTTTCGAAAGTATATCATAAAAAACATAAGGCGCATGCGGGGCCACGACGAGCGGGGGAGGTGGTACTGTCACACGCCGGACTATGGATATACCTCTCTCTCGATCCCGATCTTAGTTAGGTTACGGAATAGGCTCCTTATCGTGCAGGCCGAGAAGATAAAGAAGAATAAAAGGGAAGTTGTTATTTCTGTATTTCAATTATATGACTGTTTTGATTTGTTCCTAATTGTATTTTGTCTCTTTGAGCACTTTTTGTTTAAGCTCATGCAAAATGAAGAAGGTGATGGATTTCGTTTGTGTGTGGACTCCCATAAAAGAAAGAAGAACATGCTGCAATAAATAAAAGGAGTTGTAACGTCAAAAACTGGTTGGTTGTTGAAATTGTTGTTGTAATTGTTTATATGAGTTTATTTACATTCATGAATAATATACTTGAGATGATATTTCTTTTTCTGTGCTTAATCATTTCAGATATGAAAGCAACTAAAGCTGTGATGCAAATCAATAGTGGAGCTAAATGACAATGAGGGGTAAATTACTCTGACAAAAGCGTACAAAGATTTCTTAGTTTGTTGTAATATTATGGAAAATTTCCAGAGAATTTATTTCAGTGATATTTTTTTCGTGTAGAAATTATTAGCAGCTTATGTACTGTTTGAAGAAAGAATTATTTCATTTCAACATGTTTTTAAAGACATTTCTAACTTTTGAAAATTCCCAGGAATTTTTATAAATTAGTCCGAAAATATGTGTTTTATGACTGTAATGTTTGTTGAATTTTTGGTGATTTTCACCAAAAGTACGATAATCTGGAGTAATTTACCCCGCGTTGATGACAAGAAGCAAATGGACTAAAATACAGTGAATTCGTTTCATCTGTATTTTAGTCAATGGAGTTAAAGAAAAATATCTGTGAACATCTCAGCAGTTGGACTAAATTACTATTTCAATGAAATGTTGATGTTATTGGGGAAGAAACTGGGCTAATTTTAGAGATTATGGACTATAGATGAAAACAGAATTGGTATGTTTTGTTATTGTCTCTTCAGATGTTTTTTAAGTACGACAGTCGCTGCCATGATTGACGTTTTTGCTTCTTGGTTATGTTTTTGATGCCTGTTTTTTGAGAAAAGAAGAATTTCTTCCGAAGTGTTTTATGCGATTTTAAACCAAGAATTGAACTTCTGTTTCAGTTTCCCTCGCACAGGTTATTGAAGCGTTGTTGCGAATGCAGATATTGCTTTTGAGATGACTCATCGTCAAAGATTGTAAGCAGTGGAGTTCAATGTAATGAACATTGGTGCGCTACAAATGCAAAAGAAGTGTGTTAGAAAGAAGTAAAATCAATGGACTCTGGCTGCAAATGGAGTAATTGGGAAAAAATTGCACGTTGTGTCAGCAGATAATGGACAACAAACATGGTATGTTTTGTTATTGACATATGTATCAATATGCGATTTTGCTACTTCGTTATATTTTCCATCTAAAATTTCGTCGCACTTTTGCCTTACGATGCTTGTTTTGATGACAATGCGGCTTCTGCGAAACTCTTCAAACCATGAGTTGACTTTGTTGTGTCAATTATTGAAGCGTTGTGTTGTAAATGGTTGTAATTTGCAGATATTGCTTTTGAGATGATTCATCTTCAAAGATTATACATTCTTTTAGTAACATTCTTTTTTGCCATTATTTGAGAACCGACGATGAGCAATTTGAATAATGGTAACGGTATTTTTTTGCGTGTTGTATATGTTACAACCCAATTTAAACACTAAAATCTTAATTTTTTTACTTCATCAAAATGAAATATGTTTAATATATGTTTTGTGTTTAAAATCTATTGGAAACACATTCTATTTTCAGATGCCGATACAAGTGAAATTGAAGTGAAACGATGATAATAATGCTGTTAATGGTAAATTGTTCAAGGAAAACCAGCCCAGAATGATGTTCAGTGAATATTGCTCGTGGTAATAGATATAGTTTGGCTCCACTATAAGTATAATTGTCAATCTAAATAAAGTTGGAAGTTCCCCTTCCTTCCTACTTTATTTAGATGAAGTTTAAGTTAAATGCTTTGTCTGTCAAAATTGCCCCACACAATTTTGATAGATAAATGCAATAAAATAATATTGTAAATTGTCTTTTTGTCAATAGTTTAAAGTAATTATTATACTCCTGTAATGATCATAATGAATTGATAGACTGTAGATAAACACCGGAATAAGAATTGAGTAATATGAATAATTTAAATGATTTACTGAATAATTTGTATAATTTGATGAATATCGTGACCTGTAATATAATCTGCAGTATTAAGTAAGTCAGGGGGGGCCGAAGAAAGTACAGGGAAAGCAGTAAGTTAGGGGGGACGGCGAAGGCAGTACAGTGAAAGCGGCAAGCAAGGAAGGGGTTTGAAGCATTAACGAACTTGGTAAGTCGGGGGGAAGGGAATGATGTGGAAGTCATCTGAATAGATGACGGCCATCTTGTTGTGTGAGAACATTTAATAATGGCTCGGTGGGTTTAATTTGATGCTGAATTGCGTTGATGTTATGAAAAATTCGCAATATTACTTCTGTCGTGAAGTGTGAGGACGGATAAATAAGTGTGCAGCAGATATATAAGCAGAAGTGAACTTCATGATTTAAAATGACTACGACGAGAGGACAAAAGGTAACGCCATGTTTCACATTATTTCTTTTTCAGTTGTTTGCTTTGTTTCCACCTGACAGAAAAGGTGTAAAATGTTCCTTTATGTTTCAAAAAGATTTCTTGCTCAAAGAGTTTAAATAGCTGAATAGTACATGATCACTTTTGAAATTGAAAGTTTCAATGAACATATTTCATAATTGGGAATGACTTCACATTTAATTTATTCATTTCATTTGTTGAACTTTATGAGATATATACAATTTTTTACATTTCTCTTAAAATGTTTCCAATGGGAATCTTTCTTACCAACAAAGAGTGTGGAAACCCTACCTACTTGCCAGATTTTTTATAAGAAAGAAGCACAATATTGAAATGCTACTCGTTGATTGAAATCAGGAGGGGAGGAAAACATTTTGAAAGCATGATGAGCCTGCAACTCTGTTTTATACAACGGAATGGCGGGCAAATGAATGTGATCACCTTTGTGTGATCTATTGAAGTTTTTAACATTTTTTGTCGTTTTATCACACGACAGAGAATCAAATTGATATCCCAAAGTAAAATGAGATCTTTGTCAATGTTCGTTTGACCGCAAATTACGTCGACGATAGATAGTAAGGAAAATTCGTTACATTTTATAAGTCGCCAAGTGTGAGGGCACATTGCTGATCGCGGAATAATGCTTTTTTTAAGTATGAAAAAGAATGACAAGAGCTATTTTTATGCTGAATTCGTCGTCGCGTCGTCGATATGAGAACTCCGAACGGCTACGTCAAGAGAGGACACTCAAGGTTGTTGTTAAACAGAACAATTCTTTGTTTGTTCCATCCAGCTGACAGAAAAAAGCAGATGTGTGGTGTTATTTTGTTATATTTATACCAAAAGGTGATTGGTTTTTGTTGTAAAGACAACAATGTTTTATCTCAATGTATGTTTTATCTCAGAAGTTTATGTTTATGATTCTCTGAGAAACTGCTTAAGAAGGATTTAAAATAAACAAAAAATTTTTTCCCATAAACATTGCTGTTTTACTTACATTAAAGTCATTCATCTTCATTATGAAAATTAAGAATGAAATGTGTAAATTTTAGTATACTTTTATTAACTAATATGTATCATATACAATGTATCCTCCTATATTATAAATTTGATTGACATTGTAAACAATTTACTTCATTCGCATACTAAAAGATGATGACTTAAACAAGTCGAAACATGTTTATGGTAAAATTGGTGGGTTGTTGTTTCAGAATGAACAATCCAAAAAAGCAACAACAATACAAAACTTCATTTTCATTTTTTAAAAAATTTTTTAATTACTATCTATTGCTTTATCTTTTCATGGTTAACATAATAATATTGATTGTTGTTTATAAATCAATTAGATGAGGATGAGGAATGTCAAGCCATTAAAAATTTATATTCAATCATCTTTGAATCACAAGAATTTTAAATGTAATTTGAATCACAGCCATCCTAAAGTTCAACAAATTACAAAAGAAGAACAGACAGAGTTTTGACATTAAAGTTTAATGGGGAAGATGGTGGTACAGTTACATCAGGTCAGCGGTGTGGCACTATGTATATTATTGTTTGGGTATGTATTTAACTATACATTTACTCATCTACATCTACTCACCTTAAGTTGTAAAGCACTCCCCCTTACTTTTACACCACTCACGCTTCCTTTTACAACACTCACCCTTACTTTTACAACACTCACCTTTAGTTTTAGAAGACTCACCCTTACTTTTATATGACTCACCCTTACTTTTAGATGACTCACCCTTACTTTTAGATGACTCACCCTTACTTTTAGATGACACGCCCTCACTTTTAGATGACTCACCCTTACTTTTATATGACTCACCCTTACTTTTAGATGACTCACCCTTACTTTTAGATGACTCACCCTTACTTTTAGATGACTCACCCTTACTTTTAGAAGACTCACCCTCACTTTTAGATGACTCACCCTTCCTTTTAGATGACACACCCTTACTTTTAGATGACTCACCCTTACTTTTAGATGACATGCCCTTACTTTTAGATGACTCACCCTACTTTTAGAAGACACACCGTTATTAATTGACACACCTTTTTTAGAAGACCACCTTGCTTTTAAATAACTCACCCTTACCTTTAGATGACTCACCATTAATTTTAGAAACACACCTTTACTCTTACATCACTCACCCTACTGTTAGATGACTAAACCTTACTTTTAGAAGACACACCCTACTTTTAGAAGACACACCTCACTTTTAGATGACTCACCCTTACTTTTAGATGACATGCCCTTACTTTTAGATGACTCACCTTACTTTTAGAAGACACACCGTTATTAATTGACACACCTTTAGTTTTAGAAGACCCACCCTTGCTTTTAAATAACTCACCCTTACCTTTAGATGACTCACCATTAATTTTAGAAAACACACCTTTACTCTTACATCACTCACCCTTACTGTTAGATGACTAAACCTTACTTTTAGAAGACACACCCTTACTTTTAGAAGATACACCCTCACTTTTAGATGACTCACCCTTACTTTTAGATGACACACCCTCACTTTTAGATGACTCACCCTTACTTTTAGATGACTCACCCTTAATTTTAGAAGACACACCCTTACTTTTAGATTACTCACCCTTACTTTTAGAAGAGACACCCTTACTATTAAAAACACCCCCTTACTTTTAGATGACAAACCCTACTTTTAGATGACTCACCTTACTTTTAAAAGACACACCCTTACTTTTAGAACACTCACCCTTACTTTTAGATTACTCACGCTTCCTTTAGAAGACTCACCCTTATTTTAGAAGACTCACCCTTATTTTTAGATGGCACACCCTTACTTTTAGATGACTCACTCTTACTTTTAGAAGACTCACGCTTCCTTTTAGAAGACTCACCCTTATTTTTATAAGACTCACCTAGCAAAGGGAATCCAATGATACTATTTTGTAAGGAGTCCATCACCATGGCGCATATAAAAACCACCAATACTTTCCAGAAATTAACAAATTCACAGTTTTGTTTGAAAACGGATCACTTTCTTCTATGCCAGGGGTCTCCAAACTGCGGCCTGCATGCCAGATGCTGCCTGTTTGGCCTCTCAATCTGGCCCACAGAGATACGTAAGAAAAAATAATAATATTAAACAAAATAAACTTTGTGCAGAAAGTTCGCATGCCGAATACCAACTAGCAAGAGTAGCTTACGCCAATTTTGTCCCAACTTCCTACTGAGACATGCCATATTACACTGCAGTAAGATGGCTATGTGAAAAGTGCCCGACCCTAGAAAGCCAGACCCTGACTCATGACCCCGACCCATGACCACAGACCCCAGACTCATGACCTGGGACCCATGACCTATGAGACCAGACCCATGACACCGGACCAATGACCCCAGACCCATGACTCCGACCAATGACCCCAGAGTAATGACCCCGGATCCATGACACAGGACTAATGACCCCAGACCCATGATCCTGACCCATGACACTGACCAATGACACCGGACCCATGACCCCGACTAATGACTCTGGATCAATGACTCGACCCATGACC